GAGGCAAGGTCCTCTCCCCACTGCGCTCACTGGAGCAGGGAGGGCTGCGAAGGCTCCCAGCACAGCACACTGCAGTGCTCGCACCAGCAGCAAAACACAGCTCTCGTCTTGACCACTGGTGCCTGAAGACCAGAGCAGCCGCAGGGCTGTCGCAGGCAGCAAGTGGAGCCAGGATATTAGTTCATCCCGACTTACAACAGAGTGATCTAATTTAACGGGGCACTGGCGGGGCTGTCTGGCGGTAACTTGGCTATCATCCTTCAAGGCCTGGCCTGGGCCCCTCGTCTGACCTTCACCCCCTTCTGCCCTTCTGGGCACTGCTGCAGTTTGTAGCCGCTTAACCCACCGCGTTAGTGGTGTGGACACGAGCGTGGCCCTGCACATGCCCCCAGCCGCGTGGTGCTGCAGCCAGAGTTAGTCCCGTGGGTCCGTCCCGCTCCAGCCCTTGGCATCGGATCCGCAGCGTGGCCGCCCGGCTCCCGCTCCAGCGGTGCCCAGGACCTCGGCCACACGCCGGCACTAGCTGCAAGGGAGCAGGGCAGCAGCTCCTAACACACCTCCACTAAATGAGAAAGTAAAGTTCCTGTGGGCAGGGAAAAAATGTAATTAAAACCTGTTTTGTTCACACAAGGGGGCAGAAGAGAGGCTGAATGGGAAACCTGCCCTCCAGCATTTCCTGTCTCTGATTTCTTAATTTTGCAACTTGGTCCCTTTTCTTTTAATGTACTTTAGACTGTGATTCCTTAAGCTGCTTTACTTTAGAGTAAAAGGATTTTGTAAAAGGCCTTTTGATCTTCCTACGGACATGAAAGCACGATGTCCACCAGTATCCAGCCTGTTACCGAGAGTTTGCTCACTTCTTGGCTTTGGTAGGTGGTAGAGTGACCTTTCCTGATGGAAACACCAGAGTCCTTGCAGCTCCTGAGAACATTTTTGTGTGACCCAGCCTAGTGCCCTTGAAGGCATGGATGATGCAGCCACCTAATGAAATAACGGCTGGGAGAAGTGTGGTGCTTGGAAAGTGCTGCTCAGTGTTTCAGCACTCAGATGAATCAGACAGAGGCAGCTCCCCAGAACCGAGGTGCTACCGGATAAGCCTGTGAGCTCTGCAAAGAAAGCTGTTTCATTTTTGTTCACGAACGGAGCAAAAGCAAGACCCAGTGCCCTGAGCTTGGAGATCTAGTTGAAAAAGTAAAACTTCTGGTCTCTCTGAACCTGGGCTTGTGTGAAACCGGCAGCCTCCTTGTGCCCTGGCAGCCCAGTTGGCCCCAGCCGGGTACCTGTGTGCCCGTGAGGTGGATGGAGGAGCCGCTGCAGTAACAAAACCACCCAACTGGGCAGGAGGGTCCGTCTGCAAGGGGAAAAGCAGCCAGGAACGCTGCCCCCTCACAGCCGCTGACAGACACTGAGCTTACCTTCAAACTGCTGCTCTTTGCTGAGCTTCCCACTGGCTGCTGGACCGCCACAAAGCAGGGTTTGTACCCGGTGCCCTAAGCTGCTTTCTGGTTAGTGTGAGTAACTAACCAAATCTCGGCCTGGCCTGTGATTCATCTTGAATAAACTATTTTCCAGTTGCACAAGCAGAAGCCGTGCTGAAAGTGGAAAGATTTGATCTTTAGCACTGAAGCACTTGCTTGTGCGCTCCTGAATCTGAAGCTTTTTGTGCCACGCTCTGGATACTGACCATAGTGCCGGGCGCCACAGCTGCTCCTGCTGCAAGGGCGCGTGCGGGCGCAGAGCCCCGGCAATGGTGCGAAGCTGCTGAGTGCAGGAAATGAAACACACAGAACTTAGGGGCACTGTGAGGTGCAGGGGGTGCAAGGAGCTGGTGCATGGGCTTCCCGCAGGGGGCCTGACTCGAACTTTGATGGGAAAAATCAAAGGGATGGAAGTGCCTTCAAACAGAAAACAAGCACATCTCAAATCACCTTGTGGCTCCCATCTCCTGTGGTGACTTGACACCCGCAACGGAGGAGGAATGTGGTGGATAAGACAGGTTTGGTAAAGCAGGTCCCCAGGTCTCCTGCCAGAGATTAACAGGTTGGGCGGCTTCCTCAGCCACCGCTGAGTCTGGCATAGAAATGAAAGTATAAGAGAGGATATGCAAAGAGGATGTGATTATGGCCACAGAAATTTGTGTTTGTGGAAGAAAGAAGGGACATTGAGAAGAATCTGATTCAGGAAGAGGATATTGGAAATATGTGGATTTACATCAGAAGGGGTGTCCAAGAGTTTTTGCTTTAGTAAACCTGACCATCCGCTTGTGCTGCGACCAAGACGTGCGGGGCAGATAAGGCGCTGGAGCTGGCGGTGCTTGGCTGCCAGGCCCCTGGCAGTGTTGCCGGCCAGATGCAGCGATCGCAGTGCAGGTGTTGGCACTGAAACCCTGCCACGGGGCAGGAGACTGAGCAGTTAAATTTCTGCTCAGCAGGGAGACGTCTGCACCTGAGCTAGGAGCTGGCAGCAAACCCTGCTCACCAACCTCTGCCTTCCAGGAGGGCCGGCGTCCACGTCATGAGCAGCAGCAGGGGGGGATTTTCTTTACATCATCCCCCAAGCAGCATATGGACCCCAAACGCAGGGCCGTGCTGTCCTCGCATGTTATGTGTTGCCTGAGAGCAGCTGCAGTAGATTAGGATCGCTCTGTTTGCCATACACGCTAATCCGCATTTGCAGAGCCCGTCTCTGGGCTTAACTTTGCTGCACACTCTCTCTTCCACCCCTTAACAGTGGTGGATAAAAGGTATTTGCTGGTATTTCATCTCCACAGGACACAGTTCCTGTCCCTCCAGTGCTTTAATGTAATGGAGATGTCCAGTGCGGACGCCTCTCCTGACCTAGTTCTCTTCATTACATTTTATGGTTAGGATATTTCCCTCTTTCAAATGAATCAATACTTGTTGCAGATGTTCCTGGACTTACCTTCCAGTAGCATGTTCTAGGAGCTATCAGTGTGTCTTAAATGTAGAAATTACAGAAGTGTTAGGGAAGGAAAAGAAATTATACCAACATTTGCTTTACAAAGTAGTACTTTCCTCTGAGTAGCCTCAGGCCCAAAGCATTTATTCCAGATTTAATTTACTGAATCTATTTAATAATTTTTAAAGGAAATTACAAAATGTATAATAAAACTCTAAGGAATATAGGCATACTGAAATAGATACATTTATCATTTCTGAATATATATATATATATGTATATATATATGCAGTTTGACCAAGGAACATTGGCCCTATTTTACACTAGCTTTCACTGTGCGTTTCCCATCGCGCCTTATGTTGGTGCAAGGAGGTGACGATGCCGGCAAGAGGAGCCTCGCGCGGCGGTCGTGTCCCCTGCTCGGGGGTCAGGCACAGGTGCTGACGGGATGCCCGGAGGAGACCCCGCACCCTGCAGCATCGCGGCGCGCCTTGGCGTCATTCACGAGGAAGGGTTTGGGATGGGCTGCAAACTTCCAATTTGGAAGTGCAAAATTGGTACTTAAAACATCAAAGCAGAAGTTGCCACCCTGTCACATTGCTATTTTTGTCATTTCCTCTCCAAGACAGAGAGAATCTTTATATCCAGTTTTGAAGTAAAGCAAGCGTTGAATGATCTTGTGAATGATCTTTTTATTTCAAGGTGGAAATGCTTATTTTCATTTTAATGGTTTATTCAGTAGTACCTAAAAAAAGAAATCTCATCTCCGCAGCATGGATTCTGTGTTAAGATAACCCCAATCACAGTTTAGGATTCCCTGCTAATGTAAACATGCTTGATTACAGGAATGCGGTAAGTTTTGTGGAAGTCTCCATCCTGCATGGGGCATTCCTGAAAACACCTTTAGGTAACTTAAGGAATTTTTCAACTAGCACAAAGTTTCTCGTGGTTCCCGGAGCAGTCCCTGCAAAGGGCTGAGCACTTGCAGACCCCGTTGACTGTGGCAGCACCTGAGGACTTGCCCCAAAAATTGGGTGCTGAGGGGAAAACTTTCAAGTGATCTTCATTTGCTCCTAACTGGACCGAGATTTTAAGAAGAGCTCTGGTACAGCCTCGGTGTCAGAAGTGGGCAGATTTTCAGGAGGACTCAGCTAAGTGACTGGCTTTTGGGCAGAAAGAAAAATTCATTGTAAGAGTGAAGTTCTCCTCAAAATCTGGCCTCCATGTGTTCTAATGCTTCCCATATGACTGTGCTGCAGGCTCTGCGTTCCCTGGGTAGTCGAGTGTAATGCAAAAGGGGCTTCTCAGCAGGACAACAGATCCTTCTTCTCCTCCGGCTTGTCTTGCTTTTGTGTTCTCATTAATTGCTCTCTCACTCTGCAGAGCTGTTTGATCATGGCTTCAAATCATCTTATGAAGATTTACAAAGTGACCACGCTAAGGATGCACATGTTGAAGGTTTAGTGGTTTTCCATCAATCTTGATTTGTCCAGACAGCCCATTTGTGTCCTAGCCCAATAGCCTGGACACTTTCTGGCTGGCTTTTCCCTCCCATTAGTCAAGCATGTGTTTTGAACTTCAAACTGCTCTTGGGAGGTGGGTGGGGAGGGAATTGTGCCTTTTTTTTTTTTTTTTTTTTTTTGCATTTTGCCACATTTAACAGTAATATGGGTTGCATTTCTGAGAAGTAGGCATACAGGAAAAGAAATTAAGGGCTAAATCTGAGGCAACAGTTGTTGGGAAAGGTAAGAAGTCCTAGTTCCCCCGAGAGCTGTGCAAAATCATAAGTGTTAAGAGGAAACCAGCTCCGAGGTCCAATGCCATCTTTCTGTCTTTCCCACTCTCAACCTTCAGCACGAGCCACATCTCCTTTGCAGCCCTCATGGAAAACAAGCTCTGCTTAAATTTTGAATTTTTTTTTTTTTCACATTTCCTTTCCCTTTGTGCGTACCCTCACAGTTCAGCCAGTATTAGCCCTGAGCGGGCACCCGGGTCGATGCCAGCAGAGAGGAGGAGGAAGCGGGCGGCTGTCCCTGTGCGCGGGTGCCCGGGCCGGCGCGGAGCGCCGCGGTGCCGGTGCCTCACGGCTGCCAGGAGCGGTAAGCCGTGTAGTCTCGCGTGGGCGCGTAGGAGGGGTAGCCCTTGTTCTTTTGGTAAGGAGGGTGCCGGGGGGTCATGTTCATGTAGTCGCTCTGGTGAAACATTCTCTCCTTGCTTTTCTGCTGTGGGAGACAGTGGGGAAATACTTGAGCAATTAGTGTGTGCTGCCTGGGGTGAGTTTTTTGAAAAGGGGAGAAAAAGGAAGCTGGGAAGGGAGAATTCTTTGCACAGAGCGTTTTAGAGCCTTACTACGATCTGGGAAAAATTAACAATGGATTTAATATATTTTTCCTTCTTTTGAATTAATCAGTGGTCCTACCAACGACCAGCTGTAGGCACTGATGACATTTCTAGCCCTAGCTCGGGGAGCAAGATTCAACACATTCACAGGATTGCAACACATCTTTTCATTAAATAAGCTCTGAATTTGTCCCACCTGAGCACAAGGTTCCAGCCTCTCTTTAATCTACAGGGTAGATTGCCTTGAGCTGGGAGTGACTCAGCACAAGCTGAGCAGGCTGAGCAGCAATGGGTTTTCGCACTTATTGGGAGGAAAAAAAGAAATTTGCTTAACTCAAACAGAATAAAATCAGCTCAGGGTGGGTGGATGAGTGTGTCAGGACTTGTCTACCATTTGTGGCAGGAGTGTACAGTGTGTGTGCTCCAGCAGCACCTCTTCAAGAGGCAAAAGAAGCAGAGCTGATGTAAATCTCCTATCTCTCTTATCTGGGCCTCAAAAAAATCATTTCCACTGTTGAATTCCTGCTGTATAATGCCTTGTGAGACAGAACAGCATCACCTCTTCTACAAATAAGAGCAGCAGAAGCAGGAGGCAAGGGCCTTCTGCTTTTGCACTCAGAGGAACTTGTGACTCCTGCAGACTGCGCATGAGGTTAGTGCCCTGGGTGGCTGAAGGGCTCCTTCATCATCAGTGACCAAGGAAAGTGCCTCTATTCTCTTTCTCAGCACTATCTCTTTTTTTAAATGGAATTTCTTTCCTACGTGCATACATACCTATGTGTTTAAGTAAAAGTGTGTATCCCCTGTTGTACGTGTGTGCAAGTGTCTGGTTTGCATTAGAAAATCTGGTGGCTGAGTCACGGTGTGCCTGCAGAGTGAGCTACCTAGTTACTGTGAAAGTGCTTAAGCTTTTGGATATTAATACTATATATACATTTATATACATGTATATATGCACACAAGGTGCTGAGTGAATACTGATTACTTTAGCTAGATGATATTGTTGGTCTACGCTAAATGTATTAGAAACTAAGGATTTAGTTGTATGTCCTTATCTCTATAATATGAAACCTTTAATTCCCATATTAAATTAAAGAGTTAATTTAGCCTGAGACAGATACACTTTACTAGCAGGAGTGAATGCTAGGCTGTTCCAGGATGAAAGACTGCTGCTTTTGGAAAGGGGAAGGCAGACGGTAAGAAAACAGACAAATCTTCAGCTGCTTTCAGGAGTTCAAGTGAACCAGGCTTGCTGTGGCTGTCAAGTATCATTTCTAGGGCATTTTTTTAACACCCATTATTTCTTCTAGGCAGCTTTCTTTACACTGAACAGCACTTTAAGTACATCCACGCTCAGAGCAGGTGTTATGAGGAGAAGAGCAGCAGTAGGAGCAGGTAAAAAGGGAGGCCGCAAGGAGTGCGCTCGCGCTGCGGCCTTGTCGGCCTCGAGCGGAGCAGACATCTTCGCAGCGAGGTGCTGGGGCGTTAGGCACCAAAGGCAAAGAGGGGAGGGAAATGATTCAGATTCTGAGCGATGGGCTTGAAACTAGAGTGTCTTGTTGGAGCAGAGCTGCTGCAGCTCTGCGATGCCTCTAATCCTCTTACTGCTGCTGCAAGGCCCTCGCTGTGATGAGGCACGAGGAAGAGCCATCTAACCTGGCTTTGGGTTTTCAGGCAACAATTACCCATCCAGCCTCCTTTTCAGTAGAAACAGGCATAGACTGGGTATTATATAAGTGTATTTTGATGAAATGGATAGGGGCTGAAGCTTCAGAGTGTTTTTCTTTATCTGTGCGGAGCTTGATATGTCAGGGACACAGGAGTCCTTCAGGTAGGCTACATTGTAATGAAGTGAAAAGGCATGGAGGGGAAAGACAGTGCAAGGAACAGAGTTGTCCTCTGCAGTCCTCATTCCTGCCTTACTCGTGTGAGGAGAATAATGTGAAATAATCTTTGTGGTTCTAAGACTCATTCAGCAACGGCGGCCTTCTCCTGCCCCTGCGTCGCCAGCTCGCTCCTGCCTTGCTCCTGCAGGCCTGGGTGCTGGTCCAGGCAGAACTGGATGGGTCCTGAGCCAGCCAGCTCTCCAGAGCGACTAGAAAGCAAAAATAATGATCCATATGAATGTCTCTGCCCTCTTGGTGTTAACATACGGAGTCAGAGGAGGGCCTAGTGACATCCCAGTGTCCCTGTTCTCTTGCAGGAACAGTGGGTGCTTGAGGGAATTGCTGGGAAGGCACAAGATGCCAATGTGGATAGTCCTGAGCTGATGTCTGGTCCCTGAAGGCTGCTTTACTTCAGGTGAACCCCTTCTGTCAGAGTAGTCCTAAAGGGATTGTCCAGGAACACTTGTAGTGCTAAGTTTCCCTTACATGTTGTAAGAGCTGTTCCATGTTCCCTGATGTTATAAGAGACAGTGTCTCAAACTGTCTCTATTGTTGGTGTGCAGGGCATGGCAAATGCTGAGATATTTTTGTTTGGCTTATAGCTCTACCGCAGAGGCCTGACAGCCAATCTGGAGAGCACCTGGGCTTTCTGCTTGCCTTGGGCAGAGCTTGGGTGTGTGTATGTAGCCAGGGTGAAGCACTGTTGTCCTTAAAGTGAGGGATATCAGCGAACTGGCATAGATAAGCAAGTGCAGCTCGAGAACCATGCTAGGGCCATTGAAAAGGAGCCAAGGGGCAGGGGGGGGAAGTTGTTTCTTACCCGATAGTTAATAAAGACTGCAGTTATTAATGTGCTGTAGAAAGCAAGAACTCCAGTCACTGCCACCATAATCCAGTAAGAGTTTGCAGGCTGAACCTCTTGTATTTGGATGGGTGTCTCTTTAAGGAAGAGAACAAAAACAATTTCAAGCACATTAAAGCAAGAACCTTGACCTCTGCTTATTTACTCTTTGCTCCAGTATGCCCCATATCAACCATATCATGCAGTGCTTTGAGATGTCTGCTCCAAGAAGCAGGAATTTAGTCGTAATGGGCAACCCATCTCCTTCCTTCCTAGGAAAGAAGCTCATTGCCTTCATGTGGGGAGTGCATAGGGCCTCCTAGGTGCGTAGGAAGAGGTTTCACTTACCTTTCACGTGAATGACGGTCCCGTTGCTCTTCTCATTGTAGACGTATGGGGGTGGATACATCACCTCGATTTTGCAGAAGTAAATGTCCGTTTGGTTGGCAGTCATATTCCAAAGATTGAAGATTACTTTGTTTGTATCATGAATCCCCTTGCAGTTAAATTCCTTATTAGAGTTGCTGCTAACCTTGGTTATGTTCCATGACACAAAGCAGACTTCAACCGCGCTGGCTGTCCCTTTGTGCAGCGACGCTCGGAATTCCTTCCCCGTCCCATTGTACGTGTAGTTGCAGACCAGACTTGCTGTCTCGTTAGCTACGATGAGCAAAGGATGCTGAGCCACTAAAATCTTGTTTTCTGGAGGGAGGGAATTGAGAAAAACACACTTGTTTATAAAGTGCAACATGAGATTTGAGAAGCGCACATGCTCCTGTGCAGCCCTCTCTGCCTCTCCCTGGCTGACACTCCCAGTGCTTAACCACAGAGCTGCAGAAGCAGTTTCTCACAGGAGCTCTTGCTGCAGTAATTCCCCTTTATATAAATAATTACATAGTCAGTAGGGGACCCTGTGAGGTCAAGTGTGTTTTTTCCTCAGAGTCAGAATGCTAGTTAGTACAGAAAGAGGCCCGTGTGACTGGGACTTAACATCTAGACTCATAGGCAGCTCTGTGGTGTATATGTAAGGCCACCCTGGTCTATCTTTCCCTTATTAAGTAGGTTCCCACAGAATGCCAGGGAGTAGAAGTACAACAAACTAAATGTTTATTTTATCTGTCAGAATTAAGAATATTTATCCTCTTGCTTTTAAATCCAAGAACAGACTAGAAGTGGTTCAGCAAATTCCACCTGCAAACTCCTCAAGGGTTTGGACCTCGGATGGTGAGCACTAAAAGCCTAAACTGCTATCACTTTAATAAAAAGTAATTTCTCTAGTTAGCAGCTGAAGTACAGTCTTAATCTCCCAAAGGACTCGGGAGATGACTATATTGACAATGCACAGGCACTTAGCACTTGTGTGGCCTGCAAAAAAAACATGTCACGTGAAGGCATAATTCAGTTTGGATTGACTGGCCTGGAACACAAACAGGAAATGTTTTCTGACATATAGGACTCTGCTACCATCTGCCAGATAGTGAAACACCACAAGGACTATGCAGAAAGACAGCTTCTTCCAAGAGAAATCAACTTATACAACCAATGCCCTGCCCTTCAAGTGGGTAAGAGAAAGGAAGTTTGGGATCTTAAGCTAGGAACTTGCCAGAAGGACAGCCCTTCCATGTGTACATAAAACCATGTAAATCTTCATGAAAACTCAACTCGTTTGAGCTTTCAAGTGCAAGTCTTGACTGTATCTGGGTCTTTTGGTCTCTTGCTCCCATTCTACTATCTGAAATGCCACTTTGGGTGTCAGAGACTTTCCTGACTGAGGTTTGCTGCTGGCTTTGCTAACTGCTGCCTTTGCTCCCCAGCCAGTTCCACCACTGTGTAGCTGAAAAATTCCTGTCAGGTCTAGATATCTGTAAGCCACTGAGAGGCTCTATAAGACCATTACTCCTCACTTCTCCAAAGGCTGGAGAGAACAAGCCAGGTTACCTTTGAGGGAGTTTGGAGCCTGGTGCAGAGCTCTGTGAGAGGTAGCTTGGCACAGCAATGGTGAGACATGAACCAAAAATGACTGGGATGAGGAGCGAGGTAAGCAGGGAGGTGCCTGGGTTGGCCAGCGCTATTGCTAGGGTGTGGACACTAAAAACAACCTTTGGCCTGCAGGTTCTCCAGTTCCCAGCTCATGAAACCACTGCAGTTGTTCACTTTCTCACTCAAAGTCTTATTTACCAGCACTATCTTGAGAGAGCAGGCAGGCATGAGACAGGGAATGCTCTGCTGGCTCGTCACAGCCATTCCTGGCGCTGCAGGGAGCCCACACGCTGTGAAAAACTGCGCTTTGATGCAGAGCGAGCATTTGCTGATTGTTTCAACAGCAAGAGCCACAAACCTTGCGCTGCCAGCACTGGGTGACACAGTAACAGTAGCCAAGGCAGGTTTCTGCTGGAGCTGTCTGACAGTGGTGAATTTTTATCGAAACGAAGACATTTCAGCAAAACACTGCAGTTTCATCGAATCAGCACTTTCCGACCAACCCTCCTGCATAGGCTTATAAGGCATTTTAACAAGGGGTGAGGTTTAGATGTCACCCCTTTACAGAGATGGTAGTTGATTGTATTTTTGTTGACTGGAAGGTCAGTCTTTGGCCTAGGTAGGAATGTGCAAGTCTCCTTTGGAACTGACCTGTTTTTTAGCCTGGCACAACTCTAGGCATCGCAGCTCAAACAGAGCTCTTCTTTGGATTGCCACTGCAGGACTGCCAACCTCAGTTGTCATAGGGGCTAAATGTGCCCCTATGATGTGCCCCAGAAGAGATCTTTTCTTTCTCAGTTTACAACCAAAATAAGTATTCAAACTGGATACTTAAAGAAGCATTAGTACTTAAGAATTAGCCAAAGTAAGAGTTTTTCATTGCAAATGAAATGGTCCCTACCATAATATTGTCCTGATAATAGGAGACCAGACTCTCCTAATGAACTTCATTCAGCTTATTTCTATCACTTGGATTTGTGGCCTGGTTTGTTTGCTGTGCAGTGCAGGCTGGGTGTTAATAAGCTGGCTCCGTGCTGCCGATGCTGGGATGTGGATGACTTTGGAGAGTGGATAAAGTTCATTTGTGGATCACGTCCTGCCAAAACACCCATTATTTCCAGGGGGAAATGCAGTAAGGCCAAACATCCCTTGCTTCATTTGTGATCTGAGCAGGACTTGAGTGTATAGTCAGCAGGATGGAGCAAGGAAAAGGCAGAAGGCTCGTGCCAGGTGCCCAAGGCTGGGGACCTCTGGGCAAAGGGAGCTAGAGCTGCTTGCGCCTTCGCAAATGTGTTTTTCTCTCATAAATGTCATTCCGGGTTGGGTAAAATGGTGAAACTCTGAAACGTTTAGTGCATGTTTCCATTCATGTTCGCTTTCCCCTAAATCATGTTGCTGTTTCCCGAGCTCTGTTCAATCCTGCTGCGTGAGAGTAAGTCTACGTGCAGGCACCGGCCTTCACCAAGGCAGCTGAGCAATTGGTGGTGATGAAATGCTGCTGCCTGCAGCTTCCAAGAGCTGCAGAGCCTGGAAATGTGAAGTCACTGGTGTCAGTGCACACGTGCTGCTTCCTCAGGGTCCTTGGATTTACACACAGTGTGTGGGTGCTACCTCTCAATGCTTCTGGAGCTTTTTTTTTAGGCTTTATTTGTCAGGTTAGACCTATCATGTAACCACGTGTAAGGTATTTTGCATCTTAAAAAAAGCCATCCGTACGTAGTGCCAGTAAAACACTGCCTGATCATTGACCCTGGTGCCAACAAAACTGTATCGAAATTCTTTTCCTTTCTTTTTTGACAAGAAAACAAAATAGAAATAACAAAACATGGAAAATAAATATTTAGACTTTTTTCCCCAGAACTTTCCATGAATCATAATCAGCTACTGGAAAAAAGATTCTGTAAATATATATATATATATATATATTTTTACTTCTCTTCTTTTGTTTTCCATGACTAGCAACTTCAAGAAGTTACTTGCCGGAACAAAGAAGCTAACGGAAGTTGGGGACCTCTGAGCAGAGGCAAGAAAGGGCTCCCTACATCCCTGGGGATGTGAGAAGGAGGGGAGGCTTATGCTTTAATCACGCACAGTTTAAGCAGAGGGCTTTGTTTATTTTTTGTTTTGAGCAGGTGTTTGTGATGTCATCCTAATCTCAGCTCGCCTTGTCTCGTGCCTCTCCTGCGTTCTGATAACCCTCGTGGGTTAGAGGTTGATTTGGCACCCGGCGACCATAAGCCGGAGGGTTCTGTGGGTAGCCAGAGCTGAGGTCGCTTGTGGCGCGCTGCAGTGGGAACCCCTTTGTGTTGCTTCACTCACAGAACGTGCAGGAGATGCAGCTCCATCTGACTGCCTCTGTGAGAGACCAGTGCAGAGAAATTACGGAGCCAACACGATGGGCATTGGTGTTGCTGCCTCAGGGAAGGAGCAGACTGGTTCTTTACGATCCCTTCCAGCTTTATAGTTCCCCCATTCAAGCCAAACGTGCAGCGCTCGGTGGTGCAGTCTCTGGACAGCAGAATGGGCCCAAGTCAATTGTCTAAGACAGACTAGCTGAGGCCTTGGTGGCCGGGGCATGTTGCGCTCTCCGCGTGCCCATCTTAGGATCAAAATGCAAACAGGTGGAAAAGAAGCACGAGAAGGTGAGTGCCTGAAGAAGCTAATTCATGTGCTCAGCTTCAAGCAGTTGAGCAGTCTCAGTGAAGTCATTGGAGAAAGTCAAGTTCTTGGTGCAAAGCAAGTGCATAAATGCCTACTGAATTGTGGCATGACCCCTGTTTCCAAGAACTACATGCTCTACTTTTTGTGGCAGTTGAAAAGAGCTGTTGAGAAGCTGCTGATGTCTTGTGGATTTTTTTTAAACTGTTGCTGCTACTTATCTTGTCCTACAGTTAGTGCCTTCTCTGACAGGCCGGCTGCCTGCTGTGGAAATAATTATAATGTTGCAAGCACAAATTATAAACATAGGGTAAAGGATAAAGAAGAAAAAGTGCATGATCCTTTAAGGGGCAGACGTGGTTTCATGCAGGCTGCAGTGCCTTTATTAAGAAAGAACTACAGAAAGTAAGGCATAAACAAGGGAATAAATAGAAGCTATTATAGCCCTAGGAAAAGCACCTCTTTAAAGATGTTCCATATGTGAAAAGGTTTGCACTGGATATCAGATCTTTGTTGCTTTCTGTATGTTCCCTTGTATATCCTTGTCTGTATGTTCTGCATGTATGTATAAAACACAAGGCAGTGATCCTTGGAGAAGACCTGACGACAAGCACTCCCAGGCCAGCAGGTGGGAAAATTGGCTACCCTAGGATTGCCCCACCAAAACTCATCGGGCTCTGCCTTGCATTGGGCCTCGATGTGCCCTCTGGAACGAGGTTGGACCAGCAAGGGCCAACACCAGGACAAATACCCTCCGCAGGAGCAGCCACCATTCAGAAAGATTCACCAAGACCTCAAGACTTCCAAAGCACAGCCAGACTTACTGGAGATGTTTTCAGCGAGAAAAAGAATGGAAGGAAAGAAAAGCTAGATAGCTACTAAGTCTAACACGCTACCAAACAAAGCAAGATCAGGTCCTTGGCAGATGCCCATCTCGTGTATCCGAGCTCAACACACAACAGCCTTTCACCCGCCCGTGCTGGAGGCCGCGGGGCTCAGCCCGTCCCCGTGGCGTCGGGCCGTTCTCCCAGCTGGCGACGGCCGCGAGCGACGGGCACGAGGCCGAGGCAGGAAAGGCGCCCGTGTTCCCGCTTACCTGTGAGGTGCGTGGCCGGGACGAAGCAGAGCGCCACGAGGATGCCGAGGAGCATGGTGCCGGCGCGGGCGCCGCGCCGCGTCCTCACTGCCCGCGAGCCCGGCCCCGCTGCGCCCTAGCCCGCTCGCACCACCACTTTCCTCCTCCTCTTCCTCCCACCGCAGCACATGATACGCAGCCAAGTGAAACCACTGCAATGGCAATGCTTCAACAGGAAGTTTAAGGGGTTTTGTTCTTTTTTTCTGTTTTTTCTTTTTTCTTTTTTTTTTTCAATTACTTTAGCATCAGGAAGCCTCCGTGCCTCTGCAAAACTCGGAAACAGCTAAAAGGCAGCGGGAAGCGGCCGTTCTGCCATCCTGGTGGTGCCAGTGCCCCCGTGGCAGCGCGTGATGGGCCCCGCGAGGCACGCGGGGCTGCTGCGCTGCAAGAGCACGTGCCCATGGACCCACTGCCCGAGCTCCGGCCTGCCCGCGTGCACATAGGTGCCTTTAGTACCAACCTCTGGGATTTGTCTGAGGGAAAAGGGAACGGTGCTTTTCTTTTCCCAGGAAAACTGGGCTGTGGAAGAGCAGATTGAAGAGAATCGAACTGTTCTTCCTTTTGCCTGAGCAGTGAGCTCCTTAGGCCATGTTTTACCAGAAGTTGCCTGTGTAGATGATGTCTCCATTTGCAGACTAGGCACTTTAGCAAGATGCTTATAGTGTTATAGTGTATAACAGGTGCAAGCTTCTTGCTGTCCTTGGAGTCCATACTCAAAAAATACAGGAAAAAAAAAAAGGTCAGTCTCCCTCTCCCACTTTGTGGTTTCTAGATAACAATACTAAAACTGCTTTTTAGTCTCACGAGGTTTCTGTAGTTACCAGTGAAATAGTCCCAGCTTACCTTGAGGTAGGAATCCCCCAACACAGTTGTGACGTTGGGGATCTTTTTGTTGGGGATTGTTTTGGGGATTGCAGACCCTGTTGTCATGTCTGTCTTGGCTTGATGATTGTGCTCAATGTGTATTGGAGCTGCTGCAGAGACACCTGTTTCTGTGTCCCAGCCCCGGATCCTTGCTGTGTTTGGGATAGGCTGGAAGGACATGGGAGGAGGCTGCCCCATCTCGGGGCTGGCAGCATGTACTGAACTTGGGGCAGGGCAGCAGGAGTGGGAGGACGGACGTTCATCGGCGCAAGGTGGAGACCTGTCTGGGGGAACAGTTCCTTGTCCCTGCAGGGCCTGGGCTGCTGGGCAAGAGGAGAGGCAAAAGGAGCCACTGAGAACTCATAGACTGTAACCCTAAAAACCAGGCACGGTTTATTTGCTGTACCGAGGAAGAAGCAATTGATATCAACCTTGCCAGGGTCTTGGGTTCCTTTGTCGTGTTGTTTTGCCTCCTGTTTTCCTCTCTGATTCCCGGAGGAAAGAAGGGCACTTTCCTCAGATCTCTCCTGTATTCCAGGCATTACCTGGTGGTGATTTGCTGTAACGTTGATTTAGACACCATATGCCTCTCTCCTTATGCTGTTCTGCATTCAGATTTCAAGCTGTTGAGCCTCTCTGTGTCCTGTCAGACAGGATCTGCTTGTGATCACAGCAGTGGGACTCCAGAGGAGCGGTATAATTTCAGTGGAGTTAGAGCTGTGAGGGATCTGAAAGAGCTGCACGTGTGGCACGCTGGGGCAGGAGGAGGTTTCCTTCCCCTGACAAAGTGGCTGAAATCCCAGTCTAAGAAAATATATGGGAATTGAGCAAATGACTTTGCAAGGTAACCAAGAACCTGCCTCATAGGCTTGAGATTTTTTTACCTGTCACAGAATGTGGTTAAAGTAGCAGGCCAGATATTTGATCTCAGTATTCCCTGATAGCTTCTAGAAAAGGAAGCGCTGATTGGAACTATGACTTTATTTGTTTGAGAAAGGCTGAAATGATCTATGTGGTTTCTCAAAAAATTTTCTGAGTATCTTTAAAGCAGTCCCACAAAATCACAAGCAGGCTGCTGCTTTGCCTTTACCCCAAAGAATTGGGAAGGTCGGACCCACGTGTCCTGTACCAAGTGTGTGGCTATTAGAGTCAAACAGACTCCAAGACATTTATGTTCCAACAAGTAGATTGTTCAGAACCGAGCTGTGGGACAACTGAAGTCTTCCTTCCATCGGCGGGAGGTGTGGAGGGCCCCGCTTGTTCCCAGCCCGTACCGTGCTATGCAGCTGTGCAGCCGCTGTGCATGCAGGTGCGAGCCGCAGCGCTCACTGCAGCAACGCACCACTGCTCCCTCAGCCCCCACGGCCTCCCGCTAGTGGGGAAACGGGAGGTCGCTAAGATTCCCATGGAGCTCCCATCAGCTAATCGGCTTTTCCATCCTTGCACTGTCTTGCAAATCCATACGTGTAACGGTTGTCCGAGAGAATGATCTTCCCTCTTCCCGCCGTGCAGAACCACGACAAGCCCAGGGCTCTGCGCAGGCTTCACACTGCCTGCTCGGTGGTGCTGGGGTGTCAGTAAACGCGTTCGTGCTCGCAGCTGCAAGGCCTGGCATGTCTTTGCCCTTCCTTTGCTGCTGCGAGTAGTCATTTATTAAAAGGAGAAGGTGCTCTTAACCAGCTGCTATGAAGGAGCAGAAACGGGGTGGTAGGAATTGCACCACAAGTAGTTCTGTAGCCCATAACTAGAGAAGCTGCATGTTATCTATGTTGTTCCTCGCAAGCTGTGCCCGGTAACCCAGCCCTTGGAGCTACGTGGCACTTGTCATCTGAAGCGCTTCACAGAAGAGGTTGCAGGTGATTCTCTTTATTTTGCAGGTGGGGAACAGAGTCACAGCGAGGTGAAGACGTGCCCAGACATACCTCAGGTTAGTGGTGAAGATCTCTAGCTTTCCAAGGGCTAATCTCCCTGCTGACAAGCTCCATTCTACATTGTTATTTCCTGTGTGCACCTCTGAATTTTAATTATGTTGTGAGGCTTTTCAAGCCCTTCCCTCTCTGAATTCAGATGCTTTGACACTACAGTCAGCACACTTGGAGGAAAAAAAACCAATGTATTCCTTCAGAAAGAATTTTAAGTGGTTTTCTGAATCTTAAAATGTTACACTGAAGTCTGATAGGTAGGAACTTTCTAGGCTTGGAGCTTAGTATTGCATGTCATAGCAGGAAGGGAGTTTTCTCTTTTAGAAAAATGTGAATTTTTTCTTACTAGCCTTCAAGATAGCAGCCCATAAATGTGTCACTAATGTGGGACAAAATGCTGCCATCAAACCTGTATGATGTTGAGAGGGAGCTTGAGGGAAGTCTTCCCTATTTGAGGAAATAAACATTTCCCTGACAGGCTGACTGTTTTTTAATGCCAGTAGCTGGAAGCTCTTCATTAGCATTTGTTGGAGGAAGAAAATCCAAAGGGGGCAGGAGTTCACACGTGCACATTCCTGGCTCTTTTTAAGTTAAAATGTCATCCAAGTTTCAAAGCGGTAACTGTTTCTTCCGGCGGTACCTATTCTTAGTGTGGAGTGTTAGAACAAGTCTCAAAGGAGCTGGATTAGTGGGTGGAGAGGGAATGTCTCAAAGCCGCGTGATTAACTGTGTCTCTCACCTGCCTGTAATGTGACATTTGGCTGTTGCCTCACTGGAGGCCACGTGTTTAGGTAGGAACACCAGTAATACTGTTGCAGGTGAGCACATATGAGCTAAATGTTGCCAGAAAAAAAGAGTGTTCAGATTCAGGTTGGAGCGAAGGTCCCCTTGGTTCTGGCAGGAGACCAAACATTGCTCCTGATGGCAGTGCCCACTCATTTCCCTCGTGGAAAAGGTGGGTGAGACCTTGTGCCGCGTTGCTGCTGTGGACAGGATGGTGCCATCAGCTGAGGGCCTGAGCCTGGGCCCTGGCAGGGCAAACACGGCCTGGAAAAATAAACCTTGGCTCTTCTCAGGCTCTGCTCTGGAGCAGGCGCCAGGCAGCGGGCGAGACCTGCTCCAGCCGTGCAGTTTGTGCAGTGCTGGTCAGGGCAGTGCCCATGCGCGCCGCTAACGGGGCACGGGCAGAGCTGGAAACAGCCAGTGTAGCCCTGAAGGGTGGGACAGGGAGGCAGTGGTGCCCTGAATAAGAGTGACTGCAGAATGGCTCGTTCTTTGAAAGGGTCCCGCGGGGCTGCGGGGCCTCTGGAGCAGAGGAAGATGGTTTTCCGGAGTGGGATTGAAAGACTGTTGCAAGGAGCAGGAGTCTGGCCCTGGGAGGAGCAGATCCAGAATCATCTGCCTGGAGCTGCTGCTCTGCCAGCTGTGCCAGCAGCCCTTTCCCAAGGAGAGTAAGGGACTTATTTCAGAGGGAAGCCAAAAGCAGCACGTGAGCACTGTGGATAATCAGGAAACCAGGGCCCTGGAGTAAAATAAGAGACAAATCAAACTGACGGCGTAGACAGGCCGTGAGTCACTTGGCAAGTTTTACCCTTAGTAAGCGAATACCGTAGCTGGGGTTTTAAGGGAATTGTCTGCATTGCATTAATTTGGAAAGAGCAGTATGTGTCGCCTACGTTTGTGGGCAGAGCCTCGGCCAGAGAAAACGCTCCAGCTCCACTGGGCATAGGGGCACCAGCTGGGCTCAGCTTGGAAGATGAGGCTGAGGCAAAAGGGTCTGGTTCTGGGAGCCTTAACGCCTGCATCCTGCTGTTTTGTTATTTCTGCCTCACCCAGCCCCACTGCATTTTATAACGATAATAGTGGGGGTGATAGGTGTCTCATATCCGGGGAAGCACCAGCCAGGTGCTGCCCTTGGCACATGCCCGAGCGTGGAGGGAAGCGTCGCTCACGTCGCCGTCCCCGAGCGCCGCGCGTGCGGCTGCCGCCCTGACGCCACGGCTGAGGGGCTGCCCTCGGCCCAGCACCATCCCTTCCTTGCGATGACTTCACTCGGAGCAGCCCTCACAGGGAATCATTATTTCGGTAGGCACTAAGGAACTCCTGACTTGTAGTGTAAGCATTTCTAAAGTACTCCTTTTGTTGAGCACAGCGGCTTCTTTAGGTCTAGGCAAACCTAGTGTATGTCCAAATGCAACAACTTTCTGCTTGAGAAGTGCCCTATTCTTAG